CCTTCCGACTCTATGGTTCTATGATTCTGGCTTGAAGTCACCGAAGCCTTGACCTGTGTCTCCCCTAGTATAACCACAACTGCCCTAATAGCTAGCCCTTTTGACTGTCCCAGCACCTCCCTTTCGTCACCCCCCATGGCCCCATTAGCCAATCAGGGCATAGCTGGTTAATCCCCATTGCTAGCTGGCAACCAAATAAAAGCATCTCATGCCTGCTGGTCAAGGCCACTAGGTTTTTTGTTGTTGTTGTTGTTGTTCAGTCGCACAGTCGAGTCCGACTCTTCGCGACCCCATGGACCAGATCATGCCAGGCCTTCCGGTCTTCTGCCGTCCTCTGAAGTTTGCTCAATTTCATGTTCGTTGCATCTATGACACTGTCTAACCATCTCATCCTTTGCCGTCCCCGTCTTCTTTGACCTTCAATCTTTCCCAGCATCAGGGTCTTCTCCAGTGAGTGCTCCCTTCTCATTGGGTAGCCAAAGTATTTGAGCTTCAGTTTCATTATCTGGCCTTCCAGGGAACAGTCAGGGTTGATTTCTTTTAGGATTGACTGATTTGGTCTTCTTGCAGTCCAAGGGACTCTCAAGAGTCTTCTCCAGCACCATAGCTCAAAAGAATCTATTCTTCGGCGCTCGGCCTTCCTTATAGTCCAACTCTCGCAGCCATACATGACTACTGGGAATACCATTGCTTTGGCCATGCGGACTTTTGTTGGCAGGCCACCAGGTACTTTTAACTAATGCTCGGCCCAAACAGACTGTAACAAGACTGTGAAAACTTAACAGCTTGATCGCACCTAATGAAAGCCTTTAGACCTGTAAGTTCTGATCCTTACAGAGGAGAAGAAGGAAGAGGAGGAGGAGGAGAAGTTGATTTTTATACTCCACTTTTCTCTACTGTAAGCATTTTCAAAGCTGCTTACAATCGCCTCCCCTTTCACATTACCGTACTAAACCGGATGTTATCCATTGTTGGCCCAGTTCCGAGTAAAGCGATACAGAGGCAGGGGTTTCATACAGCAAACTTCATCCTGTTAACGAGCCATCTCTGAAGCGCTATGGCCATTTCAAACTCCGCCGCCTTTTTCACCACCCCTTTTTCGCCACGTGAGAGCCAGTTTGGTGTAGTGGTTAAGTGTGCGGACTCTAATCTGGGAGAACCGGGTTTGATTCCCCACTCCTCCACTTGCACCTGGCTGGATGACCTTGGCCAAGCCATAGTTCTGACAAGAGCGGTCCTTGAAAGGACAGTTCTTGAAAGAGCTCTCTCAGTCCCACGTACCTCACAGGGTGTCTGTTGTGGGAAGGATAAGGGAAAGGAGTTTGTAAGCCGCTCTGAGACTCCGAGTGAAGGGCGGGGTATAAATCCAATCTCCTCCTCCTCCTCCTCTTCTTCTTCTTCTCCTTTCTCCTCACCCTCCCCCCCCCGGAATGTTATAAGTTGAGCACTATAGCACTAAACCAATATAGTCTCTCAATGAAGTCAAGGCACCTCAATGGTGCCGCTGTAACACTGAAGCGCTATATTGGTTTAGCGCTATAGCACTCAACTTAGAATGTTCGAGGGGGGGAGGGCGAGGAAGATCATGTGGCCAAAAGGGGGGGGGGAAGCAGCACTGTAGGAAGCGCTACAGACATTTTAAACAGCACACCACAGCAATTCAGAAGCGCAACGACAAGGTGAAAATGGAAGAAAGCGGTTTTCCTCAAAAAAGGCTCGGCCTCACTTTGCCAATCGGATGCAAGCAGCTTTGTAGGAACAGGTAAATAAAATCCGTTAGCAGCCAGTTGCTGAAACGGCTGTGTCCCAACTGATAACAAAAAACCCATTAACGACCTGCCACTAAAATGGATTACAAAGGCTGTCTGAAAGGGGCCTTCCCCTCCCCACAACGAACACCTTGTGAGGTTGGTGGGACTGAGAGAGCGAGAACTGTGACTGGCCCAAGGTCCCCCAGCTGGTTCATGTGGAGAAAGAGTCGGGAATCAAACCCGATTCTCCAGATTAGAGACTGCCGCTCTTAACCACAACGCCATACTGTTCCCACAACAGGCACCTTGTCAGGCAGGTGGGGCTGAGAGAATTCTGAGAGAACCATGACTGGCCCAAGGTCACCCAGCACACTTCATGTGGAGGAGGAGTGGGGAATCAAACCCGGTTCTCCGGATTAAGGCCCGTCACTCTTAACCACTACACCGTGCTGGCTCTCACCCTACCATTTTTGATGGCACTTTTGAGTATACGAGCAGAGAACTGTGGCCTTAAAACACTTCTCTGTTGGACAGGAAATAGAAACCCAACCCAAAACAGGTCTCGGCGCGGTCATACCATGCTTCATGGATTGGCCACGGTTTCAGATCCAGCGGATCAGGTCACTCGTACACCTCGACCCACAACAAGCACACAACCAAGCCTTAACAGGAGAGAAGTGCTGAATCAGCAAAAGCCCAAGACAAACAAAATAGCATTGGGCAGAAGCGTTGCACCAAGCAGATACTAAAATCCTTCCAAGCAACGCAGAATGGAAGACTCTCTTCCCGGGGCCCAGCTCAGATGTCACAGGAACTTTTCCCCAAAGCAACATCTGGCAAGTAGAAGCATGCCACTCTCTCATCCTCCTCCTCTCAAGTTTAGAAGAAGAAGAGATTAGATTTATACCCCACCCTTCACCACCCAAAGGAGTCTCAGAGCGGCTTACAATCCCTTTCCCTTCCCCGCAACAGACACCCTGTGAGGTAGGTGGGGCTGAGAGAGCTCTTTCGAGAACTGCTCTGAAAGAACTTGTGACTGACCCATGGTCACCCAGTGGCTGCATGTGGAGGAGTGGGGAATCAAACCTGGTTCTCCCAGATTGGAGACCACGCTCTTAACCACTACACAAAACATGGTCCCTCCTTCCCTTTTCCATGGTTTGCAACATCCACAATTTGCCCTAACATCCAAACCTGGCAGGCTGCGATTACTCATGCAGAGATACACACACAAACACATAATTTGTGCAGAACCTTAGCACGAAAGCCTGCCGCTTAATCCCACAACGATACCTGACATTTGCAGCACACTTTCCACAAATGTTCACAGAGCACTACAGGCACTGAATCAGCGATTCTTACAACAGCCCTGGAAGGTAGGACAGTGTTACTATCACCGGATTGCAAGCATGCATTGAGTGCACTCATTACCACCATGTAAAGCAAAACCCTGTCCACACTTTTTAAGGAAAATTCACACAGGCACATAGAGGTTTGAGTTTTGCAGCATCAAGCAGTGACTTTGCCACGCGGACTCCCAAAGCGGAAGGACCGCCAGTCAGGGTATCACCCATCAATTTTCCCTCGCAGATCAACTGGGAGAACAGAGGAAGAAGGGATACATGCCGTTTGAGCCAGTTTGGTGTAGTGGTTAAGTGTGCGGACTCTAATCTAGGAGAACCGGGTTTGATTCCCCACTCCTCCACTTGCACCTGCTGATGTGACCTTGGGTCAATCACAAGCTCTGGCACAGCTGTCCTTGAAAAAGAGCAGTTTGTGTCAGAGTTCTCTCAGCCCCACCCACCTCACAGGGTGTTTGTTGTGGGGAGGGGAAGGGAAAGGAGTTTGTAAGCCGCTCTGAGACTCCAAGTGAAGGGCAGGGTATAAATCCAATCTCCTCTTCTTCTTTTCTTCTTGATGTCTCTGTGCAGTCCCCATTTGCACAATAGGACACCACCACCCTATTTTGGCAGCAAGTCAGCGAGTGCTGTCTTCAGATGGCAAAACAGGGGCGGAGAGACTGATCTGCATTGAGCTTCCAGCATCCATCTCTAAGAAACCAGTTCTTCGCATGCGATAAACGCAATAGTATACTGCAGGGATTCAAATGAAGGTACCATGGATGGCGAGATCTGCAGGGAGGAGAAGGGTGCGGAGGCATCCGGACAAGCGCAACAGGCGTCTAAACTGCCGCAAGAGTCGGGGCTTTTAAACAGGACCTCTTTTTTTTTTTTTAATGGGCCAGCATCTATTTTATTTTGTTTAATGGATTGGCGCCCTGGCAGACTGCATTCTTCTGAGCCATTAAGACACATCCGTACCTCAAGGGCCGTTTGCAAACGGAAAGTGCTCAGGTGGAAAGAACACACACACACTAGGGTTGCTGTATTCTCCCCCCCCCCCCCCCCCCGGCTGCTGGCGGGATGGTAGGGGGGTAAAGTTTCCAGATCCAGGTAGGAAAACTCCTGGAGATTTGTGGGTGGAGCCTGGGGAGGACCTCCCTCCAAACCATCCATTTTCTCCAGGGGTACTGATCTCTGTAGTCTGGAGATGAATTTGGGAGGATCCCCAGCTCCCACCTGGAGGCTGGCATCCCTACTGAGCCTCAAGGGCCGTTTGCAACCCCGAAGGTGTTCAAGGTGGAAAGAGCAGACACATTTGGGTTGTTGTATCTCCCAGGCCACTGGCAGAAGATGGGCTGGGTAGGGTTGCCAGCTCGAGGTCGGGAAACTCCTGGAGATCTGGGGGGGGGGGGGTGGAGCCTGGGGAGGACAGGGACCTCAATGGGATACAGTGCCATAGAGCCCACCCTCCCAATAGGGGCAGATTAACCATTAAGCAGACTAAGCACGCGCTTAGGGCACCAGGGCCAAAAGGTGTTGGGCAAAGGGTGAAAAGAAAAGAAAAAGAAGATTTGTAAAAAAAACTAATAATAATGATAAAACTAGTGCACGTTGATCACGGTGCAGCCTAGGGTTATCTTCTATTTTTTTGTGGGCGAGGTGCAGTGTCACAGGCTAAGACGCCAAGATTGGGGGCACCAAGATTGGCCAGTGTTTAGGGCACCAGTGAGCCTTAATCCGCCCCTGCCTCCCAAGCGCCCCTTTCCTCCAGGGGGACTGCTCTCTGTAGCCTGGAGAAGGGTTGCAATCCCGGGGGGGGGGATCCCCGGGCCCCACCCGGAGGCCGGCGTCCCTTTGCAACCCCGCAAACGTCCAGGCGCGAAGGACCTGCGCTCCCCTTTCTCACCTCTTGGACCTCCCAGTCGACGACTTTCTGGAAGACGCGGGTGACCAGCAGAGAGACGCTGGCGATCAGCAGGGTGACGGCGACGACCCCGAGGACGCCGTGGCACAGCCTCGTCATGGCGGCGGGCGAGCGAGGGAGGGAGAGCGGGGCCGGGGCGCGGCTCCTCCCGGGCAAAGGGGGACGCGAGGAGAAGGCGCGCGGGAGCGCTGCGCAAAGGACGGCTGAAGCGGCGGCGGCGGCTACCGACTGGGCGACTCCCCGCAGAGGCCGGCGCGCTGCTGCCTCTCCCGGGCTCCGGCCCAAGCGCCTCCCGCTCCCAGGAGGGGGCGGAGGGAAGCCGGATTGGCTCTCGGCGCCGGCGAGGGGAGGCGGTTTCAGTTTCCGAAAAGGCGGGGGAAGGAAGGAGGTTCGTCGCTGCGGGAGCCGCGTCGGGAAGGCGAGCGGGTGGCCCGCGGGAGGGCGCGCAGAGCGGCAGCGGCGCGCCCGTTTGGGTGTGCGCTCCGCAGTCAAGGTGGGAAGGGAGCGCCCGCTGGGCTGGCTCTGTCGGGGGACCCGATGTCCCCTCTAAGCTGTGGGGTCCTGTGAGCAAACATTCTACTTCGTGAGCTTACTTAACTGGCATTGAAGTTGAGAGCAGGGGCGGATGAAGGCTCACTGGTCCAGTGCCGGATTTATGCATAAGCTAAATAAGCTACCGTTCAGGGGCTCGCAATCTGCTGGAGCCTTATTTGTCATTTTGAAATTACGTAATTATTTCTGTGATTATGTAAACACGTCCTTTATTATTTTTAATAAAAATTAAAACACAATATATTTTCAAATATTAAAAAGGCGTATATATTTTAAAGCTTTGCTAGGAGCAAGGGTGGCTCCCGGGGGAGGCTGAGCACCTTCCTGAAAATTTCAGCGGGGGCTGAAGCCCCGCAGCCCCCACGAAGATTACGCCTATTTTAAGGGCCTCAGCAAGTCTAAATCCAGCCCTGCTGGTGCCCCAAGCGCTGGCCAATCTTGGGGGGCCCCTCCTTTCCACACCGACCCAGTCCATTTTAGTGGTTGACCTGTCTGACCAGATATACGATGCAGGTTGCAGCAATATAAAAATTTATTCATAGGATAACACAATAGACTGTACAAACTAAGCTTCTCACCCTTTCCCCAACTTTGTGGTGCCCCTTTGGCCCTGGTGCCCTAAGCACCTGCTTAGTCTGCTTCATGGTTAATCTGCCCCTGGTTGTGAGTGAGCGATTTGGCTACTGCATCAATCAGTTTGCTCTGGACTCATTCCCTCTAAGCCGTGGAGTCTTGTGAGCAAAGGCATTAAAGTTGTGAGCAAACCATTTGGCTACTGCATGAATTAGTTTGCTCTGGAGCCATCCTTCCTGAGCTGAGACAAAAATGTGTGAGCTGGAGGATAAAAAACTGTGAGCCAGCTCACACTAACTCAGCTTGGAGGGAACACTGCTCTGGAGCCATCCCTTCCTGAGCTAAGGCAAAAATGGGTGAGCCAGAGGCTAAAAAACTGAGCTAGCTCACACTAACTCAGCTTAGAGGGAACACTGGTTTTGTCCTGGTTATCCCCAAGGGCGTTGGTCAGATCTGTCCAAGGCCATGGCTGAGCTGGCTCTACCTACAGGTGCACTGCCCTGCCAGTTTCCGAGTAGGGATAGGTGAAGATGGGGTGGCTGTGTTAGTCTGTCTGTAGCAGTGGAAAAGAGCAAGAGCCCAGATGTTCCCTCTAAGCTGAGCTAGTGTGAGCTAGCTCACAGTTTTTTTAGCCTCCGGCTCACACATTTTTGTCTCAGCTCAGGAAGGATGGCTCCAGCACAAACTTATTGATGCAGTAACCAGATCACTCGCTCACAACTTTAATGCCAATAGCTGTTGTAGATTTTCCGGGTTGTATGACCACGACCATACAACCTGGAAAATCTACAACAGCTAATGAACTCCAGCCATGAAAGCCTTCAACAACATATAGCTCACAAAGTGGAATTTTTGCTCATAAGACTCCACAGCTTCAGATAGGTCGGTAGTTCAGCAGTTCGAGACCCGAGTGCCGCATCAGGGAGTGAGCTCCCGTCTCTAGTTCCAGCTCCTGCCAACCAAGCAGTTCGAAAGCAAGAAATTGCAAGTAGATAAATAGGTACCACTTCGGTGGGAAGGTAACAGCGTTCCGTGCGCCTTGGTGTTTAGTCATGCCGGCCACATGACGACGGAAATGTCTTCGAACAGCGCTGGCTCTTCGGCTTGGAAACGGAGATGAGCACCGCAACCCTAGAGTCGGACTCGACTGGTTTTCGAGCAAGGGAACCTTTAGCTTTAGCTTTAGCAGTAGAAAAGAGCAAGAGTCCAGGAGCACCAGAAAGACTTAACAAAATATGTGGCAAGGGATGAGCTTTCATGAGTCACTGTTCTGAAGCTTCATGAGGGAACTGGATAAACATACAGAGCAGAAGGTCCATCAGTGGCTATTAGCCACAAGGCATAGATAGGAGCTCTCAGTCTGGGGCAAGTGATGCTCTGTCTTCTTGGTGTTTTTTTTGGGGGGGGACAGTGGGAGCGCTTCGAGTGTCCTGGCCCCACTGCTGGACCTCCTGATGGCACCTGGTATCTTTGGCCACTGTGTGATACAGAGTGTTGGACTGGATGGGCCATTGGCCTGGCCCAACATTGGCTTCTTTTATGTTCTCTTATGTTCATATGAAGACGTGAGCAGTGACTCACAGAAGCTCATACCCTACCACAATTTTTGTTAGTCTTTAAGATGCTCCTGGATCTAATCTCCAAGCGGGGCCTGGAGATCTTCCAGAATTGCAGCTAATCTCCAGATAACGGGGATCAGTCTCCCTGGAGAGGACGGCTGCTTTGGAAGGCAGACTCTGTGGTAGGGTTGCCAGCCTACAGGTGGTGCAAACAAATAACCGGAACAATCTGTCACACTGTACAAATCACACTTGAGACTTCTGTCTTCTTCTACGGTTGTAGCCTACAGGTGGCGGCTGGAGATCTCCCACTCTTACAGTTAATCTCCAGATGACCAAGATCAGTTCCCCTGGAGAAAATGGCCACTTTCAAGGGTGGACTCCATGAGATTGTACCCCATCGAGGGACCTCCCCTCCCCAAGCCCTGTCCTCTCCAGGCTCGACCCCTGAAATCCCCAGGTATTTGCCAACCCAAAGGTGGCAATCCTAACTCTGTGGCATTAAACCCCACTAAGGTCCCAGTCCCCTCCCCAAATCCTACCCTCTCCATCCAAGAGTTTTGGTCGGATTTGTCCTCAGGAAAACCCCAAGGCCATTGCTGAGTTCCCCCCACACACACATTCACTGCCCAATCTCTAGGAAGAACCTGGAGATCTCCCAGAATTACAACTGATCTCCAGGTGTCAGACTGAGGCACGAAGGGGGATTTATTGCTGATGTGTTGCGAATGCCAGTTTCGCTTTTGCATCCCTGCTTGCTCCAGACATCTGCCTTCTGTCTTTGTTTGCTATCTTACGCCCTCACTGACATGAGATTCCTAGGGGGGGGGGAGAGTGCAAAAGAACGACTGTTGTAGTATTAGGGCTGCGCTGCCGAAACTGTAACTCTTCTTGAAGCCACAGCCCCCAAGGAGCAACTGGGTTTTCTCACGGGAGTGACCTTGGGTGAAGATAAGACTTTGGGAATGGCTAAACTGTCATATATCTATCAGAACAGGTAGTAGGCTGGTGTGTGTGACGTATGCGTGGAATGTGGGCGTTCACCTTTACTTTCCATCTCCCACCCTGGACTCGTCAGTCCTAACAAGGGCGTTCATCTCTACGGTTAACCAAACCTTTCCAAAAAACTTTCTTAAGTAATATTGGCTGGTTTTACTGGGAGCCTGACACCAAGTGATCGGGATCCCCTCCCCTGGAGAAAAGGGATGCTTTGGAAGGCGGACTCGATGGCCTTGGACTCTGCTAAGGTCCCTCCCCTCCCCAAACGCTACCCTCTCTTTTTTTTTAATTAACATTTTGATAATTAACAAATAGTACTATAAGTACAGTATGTCCGAATAGGACAGTATACATACAATGTGTAAAGCAAAACAAAAACGTAATAACGTAACATTTCACTGGGTAATTGAACAAAAAAATCAGCCTACCTGACCTATGTTGAAATTATAGCTGTGTATTCACTTTATAGATCATAACATTATATTCCAAGATCAACCACTAATTGGGGAATTTCCCCTTGAGACAACAAATATTCAAGTATAGGTAACCATGCAGAAGAAAAATAAGACTGTTTAGAGGGCTTAATCGTGTCATCCAGATTATCTGTGAGCTTCGCCATGATGTATATCTTCCATAATTTTTGATGCCACTGAGAAATTGTAGGAGATTGTGAAGATTTCCAGGTTAGTGCAATAGTGTTTCTTGCTGCACAAAGTAATAAAGATACTCTAATAGCATGTGAGTTAAACACTACCCTCTTCATCCAAGGGTACTGGTCAGATTTATTCTGGGGATCCTCTCCCCAGACGATTGCTGATCTCGCTCTATCTGTGACCGTCTCTCGCATGGGAAACAGGCTGAAGTCACCGTGAATCAGCTGTGACTTGAAAGCCAAAAAAAGGGGAGGGGCGATGTGATTCCGCCGTGAGCCTTGTTTGGAGAAAGAGTGCCTTTGAACGAGTTTGGGCAGGCTTGTCATCTCTGGGTTGGGGGTGTTCCTGGAGATTTGGGGACGTGGCCTGGGAAGAGCAGAGGGGCAAGGTCAGGCTCTGCCCCCCAAATCTCCGGGAATTTCCTAATCGGGAAGGGGCCGTGGCTCAGTAGAAGAGCCTCTGCTTTGCATGCAGAAGGTCCTGGGTTCAGTCCCCAGCATCTCCAGTTGAAAGGACCAGGCAGCAGATGATAGAAAGACCCTTTACCTGAGACCCTGGAGAGCCACTGCCCGTCGGAGCAGACAATACTGACATTGATGGACCAATGATATGATTCAATATAATGTCAGACAGGGCAGTAACTCTCAGACGCAATGAGTCCTTTTGATCAGGCTTTATTAGAAAATCAGGAAAGTTGCTTTCAAGTCGAGCACTTTGACAGAACTGCGGGACACTACAAATTTAGGAACTACAGGACCTCTGGTCCAGCCTTCATACACACGTCATGAATACATATTCCTTATCCAGGTTAAGACAGTTCAATTAACTTGGTGAGAACGTTTATCAGTTGATACTCCCTTGAGGCCATGAGAAATAAGAATAGCGAAGGATCTCTCACAGCCTTCACGGGGGCGGGACTACTTCACAGTGTGCCATAAGCGAAGCTAT